AGTGTATATCTGTATGTATACTGTGCATAGATTGTATCAACAATATATATATGTTATATATTATGTCTATATATATATATATATATATATATATATATAGATGTATATATATAATATAAAGTATAGATGTGTATAAATATAATTTATATAAAATATAAATTATTTATATACATCTGCAGATTGTTTGCTGCACTGTCTGCCGATAACGCAAAGAAATATATTATTATTATTATTATTATTATTATTATTATTATTATTATTAATTATTATTATAAATATTTATATCTATACATTTGATTAATAGATATTTATGAAAGAAACAAAGACAAGAAATTGCGGTGTATATGCAGGTAGAGTGCATGCAAAAGGAGACAGAGTCGAAGGCATTGCTGCTGGCAGCTGGGTTATTGCTGCTGCTGCTGTGGGGCCCCAGCAGCAGCAAGGCGGCCGCTTCCTCGTGTGTCTCTATTCTGCATGCAGTAAGCAGCAGCAGCAGCAGCAGCACCAAGAGAGACAGCAGCAACACCAGAAGAAACTACAGCAGCAGCAACAGCAGCAGCAACAGCAGCAGCAGGGACTGCAGCAGTAACGCTGGTAGCAGCGCTTACACCCAGCAACTAGAAAGATAGCTGCTGTTATGTTTGCTGCTATTGTTGTTGCATATGCTGCTGCTGCTGCTGCTGCTGCTGCTGCTGCTGCGCGGTGTGCTTCCTGCTGCAGTCCCTCTCCCTGACCCCTTCTTAAACAAACTCATATTAAGCGGGCGCTGCCTCGCCAAGCAGCAGCAACAGCAGCAGCAGCTGCAGGAACAGCAACAGCAACAGGAGCAGCAGCAGCAACAGCAGCAGCAGCAGGAGCAGCAGGAGCTGCAGCAGGAGGATTTGCATGCGCTGGGTTTGGTTTTGTCTCAAGTGCCGCACTTAGTTGAGGGCTTAGAATGTAAGAGCATTATTATTTATTTATTTATTTATTTATTTATTTATTTTATTTGTTTGTTTATTTATTTATTTGCGGTGTATGTACACCTCAGGCTGCACTTTGAAGATGAAGCCCCGCGAAGGAGATATTTTAGGCTGTTGCTGCATGCAGCTTGTAAGCTGATTATATTTTAATTTATTTTGTTTATTTTATTTTGTTTATTTTGTTTATTTTGTTTATTGTATTTATTTTATTTTGTTTATTTTGTTTATTTTGTTTATTTTGTTTACTTTATTTAGTTTATTTATTTTATTTATTTCGCTTGTTTTGTTTGTTTATTTTGTTTCTTTTGTTATTTATTGTGTTTATTTTGTTTAGTTTATATATTTTGCTTTATTTATTTTATTTATTTTAATTTGTTTTGTTTTACGTTTTATAAAAATAAATAAAAAAACAGACAAAGAGACAGAGAAGACATCCTTAGCCCCGACATATCTCTGCTCTCTCTCTTTATCTCTTTATCTCTTTTTGTTTATATTTATATTTATATTTATATTTATATTTTTATTTACACTCATATATTAATATTAATATTAATACTAATATTTAATATTAATATTTATATTTATATCTATATCTATATTTATTAATATTAATATTAATATTAATATTAATATTAATATTAATATTAATATTAATATTTATTAATTTTATTTGTTTGTTTGTTCAGGAAGACGCCGCAGAATTTCTTTTTTGGTTGCGGCCAATCGATGTCCAAATTTTTGTCTTCGTGTTGCAGCCGGTATAAAACAAAGACAAACAAATAAATTAAAATAAATTAAAATAAATTAAAATAAATTAAAATAAATTAAAATAAATTAAAATAAATATGAATTAAAGAGACAGACAGAAAAAGTAAAAGGAGACAGAGAAAGTAAAAGAAGCAAAAAAAGATTAAAAAATAAAAAAAAATATAAAATAAAAGACAGGAGACAGCCAAAGACAGAAGGAGACAGCTAAAGAAACAAAGAGAGACAACAACATAAACGAGATAAAAGAAACAAAAGAGATAAAAGAAATAAAACAGATTAAAGAAATAAAAGAGATGAAAGGAGACAGACAAAGAGATAAAAGGAGACAGCAAAAGACAGAGCAGCAGACAAAAGTAGAGAGCAGCAGATCTGTCTTTGTTTTGGTGTCTGTGTGTCTGTCTCCTTGTGTATTTCTTTATCTCTGTCTCTCTCTCTGTCTCTGTCTGTCTTTGTCTCTCTCTCTCTCTCTCTCTCTCTTCTTTGTTTTTGTTTATATATAACTGAACGTAGCTGCATGCAGATGCATGTGTTTTATTGTTTTATGTTTATTTATTTTTTACTTTCTTTCATCTGTCTCCTTCATAGGCGTCTCCTGCCGATGATTTGTTTGCTTCTGCTTTATTCAGCGAAATGAAGACAAGAGGTTTGTTTATTTAAATATTTTATTGTTTATCTTCTTTTTATTTTTATTTTATTTTATTTCTTTTATATTTCTTTTTCTTTGTTCTGCTGCATTTGTTTGCTTTCTACTGTCTCTCTTCGCTGCATCT